TCGTTGCCTACAATTAAGATACTTTTCTTCTTTGAAGTAAACTAGATAGAACTTTGGAGAATGTCTTTCCTCAATGCAGTCTTAACAATCAAAAGATTCTCTCCCATAGACATAAACTGGAAAATCTTTTCCTAGTTTCCTACGAAAACAAAACAACTTGGGAATGTTTCTTATAAGAAAATTTTGAGATTTCTGAAAAGAGCCTTTTTTCGGGAAGAAGCATTTCTGTAGTACTGAGAAGAGTGATGCTAATCATAGTCAAACTTAAATCGTTTCAGAATTTATTTGATGAAGTGAGGATAATGAAGTTAGTCAGATTGCTAAAATGAAAGAAAAATTGAGAAGATTCTCTCTGAACCTTGGTCTTTGGCTGTTCAGAGAACGTACTGATCACAGGATTCTAATGTTCTTGCTAAATTATGGAAAGCTCTTCTTACGGAGATCTTTGAGAAGGCTCTAGCAACGTATACTAATGACAAGGAATATCTTGAAGTTCTTGAGAATGGAATGAAAAGGTCATTGCTGAAGTTAGTATTATTGAAAATCTTGAGAAGTCTAACGCTAATAGTATGCTACCTATTGATTAGAAAACATAAAGATGTGAAGATTTTATTTTGAGTTTCCAAGGCAAAATTTTATCAATGAGTATCAAAAACGAGAGTAGTGAACTAAAGTTCATGAAGGATTTGCATTCAAGTCAAAATATCAAGAACGTTGTCAGATATTAAAACTGAAAAAAAGTCCAAAGAAGATTCTATTAGTGTGTGGTTAGAGAGAATTTGAAGGGTGAGAATTCTATAGTTCTCGGAAGACGAATATACATCATGATAAGCATGCATTTGAGGTTACTTTTATCATGGTTGGACGAAACTCCTCATCACGTGATGTTCTGGATGAATAATTCAAATCCACTGAAGGAACTCATTATTGCTCACTTACTGGATGGACGTGACGTTTTCCTTTCAGATTTTTTGTTCAACGTATGCGTAACTTTTCGAAAAAGAGTCCAGATAGGATAATAGCAAGATCAAGAGTAGGTTTGTATGGATCTAAACCTGAGGAAATTTTAAAGTATTCAACGCAAATAGTTGAAAATATATACGTTCTACTTCTAAGACACCAAATAATCCAATACCAAGTTTATCGGAGTTCGTCATAGTAAAACATAGGGATCAGTAGATTTTAGTACCAAGGTGAGAAAGCGTTCTAAAACTTATTATTAATTTATAAAGAAAATCAGCTTCGAACCAGCGTCTGAAGAAGATAAAAAAGCATTTCAATGACTAAACGGTGATAACCTCTTTAAAAATCGAAAATGCAAAAAAATCCAGAGAATATTCCATCAGGATCTTTCCTTAATGTTTATGTATCACTTGTTCTAAAAATATTTCTCTAAGTTGAAAAATGATTGTTATTATCATAAGAATTTCATCCATAAGAGTTTCGAAACTATTCTGTGCCCATCGAGCATCGGTTGAAATATTAAGAATCCGCTACAACGAACGAGAAAGAAAATAAAATATTCTTCTTTCTTGAAAGAAACTTGATAAAATTTTCGAAAATGTCCTTCCCTAACATATTCTAAAGAAGTAAAAGGTTCTCTCCTACAGGTATTAATTGAGAAACCTTGTCCCTAGTTTCCTATGCAACGAAAAGAACTTTGTAATGATTCTTACGGTAATCGTTTCACATTTCTGAAATACTGAGAAAAGTAACGTTAATCTTATGCAAACTTCAATTGTTTCAAGATCTATATGATGAACTGTAGACTCTTTTTCAAGCAATCCAATAATGAAGTTAGTCAGATTGCTAAAATGAAAGAAAAACAGAAGATTATATATGGGTAGAGAACGTGTTGACCACATGTTGTTTTTGGTGTTGGAATGGAAATCTTCTGAAGGATAACTTAAACACTTTCATAGACGATGCAAGAGACAATTTTCGTAACGAATTCTCGTAGAGGAGTCCAGCAACATATACTAAAAACAAGAAATATCTTGAAGTTTTTGAAAATAGAGCAAAGAGATTAATACAGCAGTTCATATTGTTGAAATTGTTGAGAAGTCTAATGCTAATAGTCTGTTGTCTATCGACTGGAAAATAGAGATCTGAAGATTTCGTTCATATTTTATATTGCAAAATCTTGTGAATGATTACCAATAGTAGTATTAGTAAGCTTAACTCTTTTCAGCATTTTTATAAGGAACTCTAAACAAAGTCAATTCGGATCTTTTAAGAAGAATGACAAAAATAAGAATTTCGACTGCTTGGAAAACAAAGATGAATTGTCAACTGTAGGTATCTTTCCGGATGCTTTTAACATGATTTTGTGGATGAAAAATGGAAATTTGCCGGAGGATATCGTAAATATTGACATAGAATATAGAAGATCTTTGGAAGCTTATGCCAGGTTCTTTGAAAGACGATGCTGAAGGCATCTCAGCAAAATCATAAGAACGTTTTTATGCATACAAAATGCAATATTATTCAAGCTCTGCATAGGGAAGCATATCGATGTAGTCTGCTATCTAGAAGTATTCGGTGAGAATGTCTTTCATCATACAAAAAGCAGAATCTTATTTAGCGATGTAGAAAGAGTAACTTTAAGCTATTGCACCTACATCCACGTACACCTTATAAGTCATTTCTTACAATATGGTAACCAGATTGATATATGCTAATCTTTAATCACATCTATGCAAGATTCTCTCAAAATCTTCATAGTAGAAAATTTCGAGAAAGTTTCAACTCGTCACGTGACGAGTTGAACAAACAGCAAAAATCAGACCTTTCGAAACACCAAAAATAGGGATATCCAAAAATACAGGGGTTTCGTAACAAAATTTACAGGCCGATCGTAACGATTAATACAGGGAGTTCGTAACAGTTGCAGAGCTTTCGCAACGAAGCAACAGGGATTTTGTAATGAGGATGAGGATAATACTGGACTTAGTTTGCAGAAATTGCATGCTTTTCGTTACGAAAGCTCTGTAATGGTACATACCAAAAGACCCGTTACGATCGTCCTGTAAAATCTGTTACGAAAACCCTGATTTTTTGTTATGAAAACCCTGATTCTATCGTTACGAAAGCTCTGTTACGGGTTTTCGTACTGTCAATTCGTTACGAAAGCCAGAAAACAAAAATCGTGATGAGTTGAAATTTTCCCAAAATTTCTAGCATGTTTATCAATTAAGACCAATCCGAACTCAAGACCACTACATAAAGCTCCACGTCATCGTATGCAATGTTATGGTTGCAGTTCCTATTTTTTTCAAGTACCATCACGACTAGAATAACAACACGTGTTTTTACTCGTCGTTTGCTCACTTCGGTGCTAGTATTTAATGTTGTTACTATTTTGTAAGATAAATGACTTCTCATTGTAATTTTGATCTGTAAGAAAAATATTTTGATTTGTGGTTGAAGGGAGTCTAAAGTTTTCATTTTTTTTCTTTCATACGGATAACAGAAAAAAATACTATTGTTAATCTATATTTTTGATCCCATTAAAGAGATTTTACTTCTTGTTAAATAGAAAAAAAAAATATATGAAGCGTTTCATAGATAATTTTCAGGTATTATCGAAAAGAATAATGACAAGAAGAAGCAGTAAAAACAAACTATATGGATGCATGCATAGTACACTTTTTGAAACCTAATACTTGTCAATATCAATGCTCAAAAACGTATGATTATTTTGCAACAAAAACAATAATCTATATCTGAAAAGTCAAAACTTTGCACATATATATTTTCTTACTCGATAATTTGTATCATTGTGCTATTGATAGAACATACTTTAGATCAAATTTTTTTATTTGATATATATTTTCAAAGATCATTATCAAAGTAATAGGCCATTTAACTACAAAATGATAGTATGATTGACATAACTAAATATTCACCGAAATTATATTTCAAGTAATCAAGATCCACGAAATATGATTATTTTCTATCTAGAAAAACACTCACATCCAAAATCACAACGTCTATTAACATGTAAAGATAAACGATAAAAATTGTTCTGTCTTTAAAAAGTTCACCTACTTTACCTAAAAGTAATTTATAAATATATAAAGATTGTTTCATATATTTCAAGCAGGGTTACCAAATCTCCTGTTTTGACCAGGGATCTCCTGATTTTTGAACTTTTTCCCTGGCAAAAAATCTCCTGATATCAGGAGCTGATTTTTATGATTTCTCCTTATTTCTCCTGATTTTTTTATATATGTCGATTAGCGGCATTTTGAGCCTATAGTAGTTTAAAAGAGAAAAAAACAAATCTATGGAAGCGTTAAACAGATATNAAAGACTTCAAAAACAGATGAACCGCATCTGATCAATTGTCTTTCTTAGTTCGACCACCAGCTGCTGAGATGCCATTCTGATAAAAATACACTGTTCAACCGTATTCAACAACACGAAGTGTGTTTCCTTGAAAATATATTCTTGATCAAATTTCATTTCAATAGGGGAAATCTTCGATCATGTTTTCTACCATAAGAATCTTCAAGCAAAGATAAATATAAAGTTCTCCACGAAAGGCTAAGCTTCATCTTCAACTCAAATTTTGATAATCTAAAGCAGTATTATTGATTGTTAAATGATGCAGATACCTTCCAATGTGAATGAATCAGCACTTGTAAAAGCCTCACTGATATATCCAGCATATTTTTTACGAATACCACCGATCTTTGTTAAATCATCGGTGCCGTAGATCTAAAAATAAATAAGACGAATATTCAAAACATTTTTCATTCTAATTAATTTATTTCTACAATCTATCAAGATTATATAGAGATTATGATGGATATATGTTCAAATGGAAAAGGTTTGATTACTAGATAACTTTTGACTAGGAATACACCTATTAAGTGATCTAATCTATACCTGACCGACGAGAATCAATTGCTCATGATTGTCAGATCTTCAAACATTTGAATGTAATTGAAACTACATAGTTAAGTAGATTTTGTTCGAAAAAAATCGAAATTTGCAGACGAATTATATTATTTTAAAAAAATATGCTGATTATGATGAGTCGTTTTAGCTTTTGAGATGTCACTGAACTTACTGCGAATTCGCTTTCACAACAACAGCTAAAATCTCCATCACAGATGCAACGAGGTCCAATAATGCCCAATGTATTTGTACGATTAGCATCACGTAGAGTATATCGCATTCGACATCGGCTTCCTCTAAAAAAAAAAGAGAGACATGTCAGTGAAGGAATGATTGTGATTTTAACAGTGATTACTCGTGATTGGCGCTGCCAATAATAGTTCCCGGTGGTGATTCCACTATGATTTCTTGCTTACAGCTCTCACAATCACCACACCAACAGCATACACAACAACATTTCAATGCACGTGACATTCGAATAACTTCCTAATGATTGAAAATGAATAGAAATTGTAGAAAGGTAGAATTTATCTATTTTAGCCTACGTTATCGGCAGTATCTCGAATATGAAGTGTAAATTCACGGCTGTTAGTGCACCAGCAGCGTTGACAACAAGTTGAATCTACAAATAAGATGAAATGTTTTAATGAAATGGCGAATATCATTTTCTTACCTTCTTTTACATTGAATAATAGTTCACCATTGCGATTGAAAATACTAAATTCTGATGTCGGCTGATAACCAGTTAATGCTTTGAAATGAAAGAAAAATGAGCAATTTGTCATATTAATTCTTCTTATGTACCTTCTATTAGAGATCGATGTTGTTTAACAAACAGATAATCAACTGTTCTTAAACATTGCAGTCCATTTGTACTATTCATTGATATAGACATTAGCAGTGGTAGAAATTTTCAAAATAGTTACGTTTGTTTTTTACTTGCCTACCATTTCTCTACTGAGCGCTAGACTTATAAAACGGGTTCTTTTTTTTTTCTTCCTGTCTTACCTCTACTTTCTGTCTTTTTTTTTCACCCTCAGTAGAAAAAGAAACTTGCAGCGACGAACACTGTGACTAATCAAGCGTTTCTTTTACTAGCAGCATGTTTTCTGTTTTCTCTTTATTCAAAGTGTATTACTGACGTAAATAGTGGCGTAGACATCACATCACAATCAAAGTAACTCTTTCATCATTTGACCAAGAGAACATATTTAGTTACAAGAGAGCATACATATCAGCAAATAACAACAGCATCCCCCTTTGATTCTTTTCATGAGCTAGGTACTTATAAGAACGTAAGAAAAACATAATAAATTAAAATTGTAAAGGCAGAAGGGCTGTCAAGGAAGGAAAAGAAAAAAAGCAGAACAAGGAGAAAAAACCACGCTTGACGCCTTTATGCATTTGTTCTGTTACTGAGTGAGGACTCCTGTGGCGGTCGTCAAAACTGCGCAACTGCTGCCGCTATCATAGTAGATATGAAGACATGTCTTTTTTTTTACGTCGTTATAGTATATAATGTGAAAAAAAGCTTGAAACAGTTCAAGAATGTACCGTATGGAATGAAATCTTCATAATAACCCATTAAATTTCCATAATCAGTTTGATATATGCTACAGAAAAATTTATGAAAAAATATTTGGCACTTAAAAATAAGTAACTTGAAAATGAAATAGTCAATGAACAAGAAACAATACCATCCAAAATAAATCTGACTTTTAGCAAATATATTGACAAGAAGTCTTCAACTCTCAAATCGTTTTTTGATTCAATATATGCTCAAACGATAGACCTTAATGAGCTATTGAATACCCCACAAGGATTTGGTTTCCTGACCTCCTCCGCTAAGATATACAATTGCTAATATTATTATTGTCGGACTTTTTTTTATTAATGCCAACCACCATTTTCTGAATAACTTTCGATCGTTTATAGCTATCGATCGCGGATTTTCACCATTAGAGAGAGCAATGTTGGACCCGTCTATCTGTGTTATATTCATTAAATTTAAAGATACTTTTCAAGGATATTTGTATGTGGACATGTTTTTCGTTGTCCATTTCTACACCTTTTCGTAGCAACCTATGTTCGAATTACACCAGATTGTGAGTGTAGGTAGAAAGAAAATATACACCTACATCCATACTTCACACCTTCATTTATAAAAATTCGACTTAGTCAGTCGCTGAACAGCAAGAGTTGAGACTAGCAGATTAAACGTCTCTTCTTCGTCAAGAGATAGGCTGGTCTGTTTTTCAATTACTTTGTAAAAAGAGTGTATTTATATAAACTGATGGATTCTTTATTTTTCTGTCAATAATTGGTGAAGAAAACATATAACTATTTGAGCTCGTTGATGCGTCTTATGCTTCGCTATATGCTTTTGCTATAATATCTCCTTCTACTTCAGAAAGAGTGTCCGATTGTGAGCAAGAGGTTGGCATGTATAATGAACGGAAGCTAGTTAAAAACCGAGCTAATTCATGATGAGTTAGTCACAAAGCAGCGGTATGCGTATGATACCAATATATAGAACATTTTTAGTGCTTATGATTGTTTACAGAAAATGGTTAAAATATAGAACATGTCTACTATAACGGCAGCAAATAAAGGAAACAATACTGCATACAGACAGAACAAAAATACTCATCAAAGGAAAAACATACATTGCTGTACATTCTGAAAGTGGTCAGGTTTTTTTGATAAAAATTTACTGGAGTAGCAAGACTATTCAATTACACGAGAAAATTTTTTTTATATTAGCTGATCGCATATCAAGGAATGCATTTTGAAGATATTATTTCTAGAACAAATATCAATCTGAAACCGATCCCTTGTTACACGATTACAAAGTTTCAATAAACAATATAACCTGAGATAGGTCATCAATAAAGTTGATCCTATTTTAATATTTATATACATAAATATTTATTGGAAAATATGTCGAATAAAACTTTAAAGAATATTGCATCATATCATGAAAAGAAAATAATCAAATCGCTTGAATTGCATAAAAGACATTTACCATCAATTATCTAACGAACTTTTGGGACATTCTATACAATTATAAATCTATTAGCATCTAAATAAAGACGAAAAAAAAGGTTAGGGTTCATCTATAATGGACACCCAGGTAAAGGAAAAGGAGAGGGTTAGTCAAAACCGAACAAATCTGGATAAAGAGAAGGAGGGATAATACATTTCTGGACGTTCAGATAAGAAAAAAGGGCCAATGAAACTAGAGGAATCTGGACAGGACGATGGAAGAGTCAAAAAGTACGATTTTTACCTAGACGTTGTTCATGGATGGTCGCTTATTGTGTGTAGAAATCATTGTACGATTTTATTATACAATAAAATGAGTTTCATATTTTCAATAGTTTTTCTTTTATAAGAATGAATGTATTATTGTTTAAAATTTTTATTTAATCCAATTATATTTGAAAATATTTTCTTGAACTATATCATATTTGATCGATTTTTCATTGAATCGTGACCCCATTTTTTCTTTTGTAACGAAAGGACTTATAAGAGCTTATCAACAGCTATTCTTAAAATAAATCTTCTTCGGCTATCAACACTTAAACATTCTTATGTTATTTGATTGTTTTTTAGTTAACAGATAATACAAATTGTACATATATATAGTTTCATCTTATCTCAATATTTTATGTCGTAGATCGTCATTTGTCAACATTTGAACTAAATTAATTTTTCTTCATAGTATATAAACAGAGAAAATATTGTTTTATTTATTATTCTAAAATTTTCTTCAAATAAAAATCAAATGAATAATTATCGTTTATTTTTAATTTTTTATAACTGTAATTCTCTTGGTTTCAACATTATATAGTGAAAGTGCACGTATTGATAATCTTCACGATGAAGAAAATATCAATGATAATGAAGGTATGAATTATTTTGAATATCTATTTACATGAAAAGATTTGTTTCTCTTCAAGATTTTATCGAAGCAATTAAACGGTTTTGGTTAAAGAAAAAAACGTCAACAACAAAACAACCAAGTTTCGATGTAATTTCAGCCATTGTATTAACAACATCAAGTAACGCAATTGTTACATCTTCAAGATCATCAATTTTTGATGATAGATACGGTAAAATATCAAATGATAAATACAACTGGTTCACAACAGAAAGAAATGATATATATCGTTATAATTATAATAGAAAGAAAAACCGTTAAATAGTGATGATTCATACGGGCATGATATATAGTTTATTGTTTGTTAAGAACAATCGAACATTGTTGTATTCATGACCTGTACTAGTATAAGAGAAATAAAGTTGGAATAAGACCCATAATGATTGTCGTTTAATTTTCAATTATAGAATGTAAAACAGAGAATAATTCAAAATGTCTCTATTTATAAAAACCATTGTAAAATTCGTTCAAATATGTGTAAGAATGGCTTACATATTCTCATGTTGTGTTTGTTGTAGTACAAAAGTCGATAACAATCAAAAGCGAAATATTGTATAAAATATCAGTGCAAGCTAGAATCAATTTTCATGACGAACTTTTGTTTCTGAAGATTGATAAGACGATAACAAATAGAAATAGAAATTTCTTTTTTCTCTATTTTGTGCATTCAGAATACGCTTAATTTCTCGTGTCTTCTTTCAATTTGAAATATTTATGAAATATTCATTTATAAAATTGGATTTTTATGTCATCATGAAAAAATCTTAAATAACAACTTATATTATCTACTAGTACTGATATTTAAACAATAAATAAAGTAAATAAGTAAGATAAAAATACTTTTATTCCATAACATCATCAACAAATGCTGGATGCTTTTATATAAATACTACATCACTGAATGTGATTCAATAATAACTTGAGCTAAGTGCCTTGGTTATTGATGAAAGTCATTTTTAAGTTTTAATTTGATAATATACTATTTTCGTTGTATTCGTTCCCACAAATCTTTTTATTATGCTAATAAATCATCATATTGTATTTGAAGAAAAAAAATAATCTATTGAGAAAATAAACATGAGATTAAAATTAATTATAGTTAATTGTTAAAATCATTAACTACATAAGAATGAGCATTCGACAGTTTGATCAAGTATTTTTTGAAATTGTTGTTGAAGTATTTGATGATCTATTAAGTAATAATAATATTGACTTATTTTTTGATATTACTCAAAAAAATAAATCTTTTATTTATAAATCATCAATCTTATCATTAAATTTTTAACAAAACACCTTTCTAATTACTGACTTACGGAGAGAACTATTAATGATTAGTATTCATGATTTATTTTAATAATTTAATTGATTTTTCAAATTCAACATCATTTACATTTCATTCATTGTTCCTATATCATTAAATCTACAACAAATTTGAAATATTTAAATCTTACATAGCGACTATCATATAAAAAAGTGATCAAACATATCAATATTTAAATCTGTTTCAAATTCAACTAAATAAATTAGATCTAACACTTCCAGACGAAGCATATATGACTTTAACCATTCTGATCATATGAAATTGAATAATGATAATATTCTAAATAGTAATTGTTGACTATGGCATTGGATCAATGAATAAACTGCAGTCTTGAATAAAAGCATTCAATGAGTAGAAACGACAGATAATCTAATTCAACGATTGACATGAACAAATTATAGAAATTTCTTAAATATTCAAGATTTAGAATTCAATCTTAATTTAGGATCACCTTATGGCTGTCTCGATGACTATTGTAAGTATTTATAGTCGTGGACAAAAGTCTCGCAGCTAGGCAAAACCTATCGACATAAGGAATTTTTACCTTGAAACATCTACCATAAGAAGAACTCAATGAGTCCTGATCGCAGGCAAAATCTTGAGATCTAACACTAAGATCAACGATATTTTCCTATTGTATTATTTCATGCTAGAAAGAAGATAAAATGTTGTTCGACCCACTGTTTGAAAGTCCGGCTCTCTCTCCATCTACAGTAAAATTTTGATTATAAATGGACGTACCTTTGTTAAGTTATGAATTATTCTCTGTCTACCCATGATGCTGACATATCACAACATCAACAGTTTTTGACTCGAATTTCTGGCTAGGCTGAATCTTTTGACTTGAAAATCATATCACAAAGTGCTTACCTATGGTTCCGACTGCGCTGAAATTTTGAGAACTATAGTCACTAGAGCAGTGAAGATTCATATCATTCTATATCTCAAGACCGACAGCCATGGAAAATCACTATGGCGCAGCAGAACAAGTTGTTCTTTATAGCATGAGTAGATCATCATCAGAACTACTCATTGCACTATAAATATTATCCTGATTTTATCAAATCGAAGAAAACCAGCATAATCTTTGCATATATCTCTATTTCTTGCTTAAAATTAAAGCAAATTACCTAGGAAAAACAATGACAAACAAGAATTTTCAAAAATTTCAGCTGGTCAACTCTGTTCCATTTTAAGCGAGAAATAGTGATATGCAAAGGTTGTGCTGGTTTTCTTCGATTTGATGAAATCAGGAAAATATTTATAGTTCAATGGGTAGTTCTGATGTTGATCTACTCATGCTATAAAGAACAACTTGTTCTATTGCACCATAGTGATTTCCCAGGGCTGTTGGTCCTGAGGTATAGAATGATATGAATCTTCACTTCTCTAGCGGCTATAGTTCTGTTTGTGACATGATTTTCAAGTCAAAAGATTCAGCCTAGCCAGAAATTCGAGTCAAAAACTGTTGATCTTGTGAGGTGTGAATGTCGGTGGCTGTGGGTGCCTGTAGGCATGGTTGTAGGTGTGGGTGCGGGTGTGGGTCTAATTCAAGATAAGATTTACATCCATATTCAGACCCACTTCCACACACCCACACCCATACACCCTTGAAATGTGAAATCTATTATTTGAATCAAGTAGAAATTTGTTCCATTACAGAAAACTCATTTCAAATTTCAATCTAATTTCAATTGATTGTTTTGTTTATTAGTTCTAATTGATAAGGTTGTTCATGATCTTCATCTGGTATATATGAAATATGATCTTCAATAATAGATTAATTCAAATAGAATCATTTAGCAGATTTCATTTCAATTCTATTATTATCAAGTATTATTATTTGAAGAGTATTTAAAAAAAAACATACGAAAATACCATGGAATTTGTTCGAAATAAAGTAATCTTATTTGATTATCTTTTTGTTCTTCATTAAGTTTTATCACAGTTTTAATAGCATCATCACGAATACCATAATCTTAATAAAAGAATTCATTTTATTATCATAGATTTTCTTTCTATCTTACCTGTAGAATATCGATAAACGACAATAGATGGTGAAAATTTATCATTTTAATTATTAGTAGATGAGATCTGTTGTTTATTAAAACTCTAATTTAATGAAAATGTTATAATTTTTCATATTTAATTATATAAATGATAGACAATAATTGGTATTATTCGTTGATCAATTGAATAATCTTATTTAGGATTGAACTTTAATACATAAGTCTACACAAAGAAAAAATAATTAAATTATTTTGAAAAGAAATAAAAACTAAATCTACTTGAAATAATTGAAGATTAACATAAATATTGATGAGAGAATTAAGTGAATATGATTGAACTACATTTCATTCAAAAAATCGAACAAAGTAATCATTAGAAATAAAGAGAACAATATGAAAATAATTCTAAAACTTTATAACGAACCATAATGATCAACTTTTAATGTAGCTGTATCAACAACAATAACTAATAGCATAGGTAATTTAAGTTGAGTTGATGTACATTTACTATTCTTCATTAAAAAAAAAAGAAAACTTTTAAATCTATATAAATATAATAAAATACTTAGAGCATACATTTGTCAAAGATTCACTTGAAGTGAATAATATGTACTATGATGAAGTTTTCATGCATTGTTAAGTAATCCTGAAAGACCTTTGTAATGTCAACTATCTGCTAGACAAGATAATAATTTTTTCCATGATATTAAATTTTCTATAGAAATAAAAATATCAATTAAACCGGAATCAAAATGAAAAAACAAGCCAATGTAAATCATTTCTTGTGGTATAACAACATATCAAAGAAGAGAATTATTTTGATTAGAATTTTTTATTATGAGTAAATGTCGATTGAAATCGAAATCGATAATTTGATAAACTTGAGCTGACATTTCAATAAACAAAATTATAAAAGAAGCACATAAAATATCATCTAATTCATGTACAAATAATGTTACACTAAAAGAATATATTCATATATTAATATTGAATTTTATTTAAGAAAATTTACTCTTCTTATTCATTCGGTTTGAACTATATCTAAACTTCTGTATCAACAATTGTCTGTATTTTCCATCGATTATATCACCATAAATCTTGTCTTAATAAAACATGAAGTTCACGAACATGATTTTAACGAACAATATCAACAATTACTTTTAGAAATAGACGATAACGATGAACTATAAAAAAAAGCAAACAAACATTGTATTAAATATATTTGTTCATGAAAATAAAATACTTACTGATACTTAATCCAAGAATATCAGATAAAGCAGTAGTTATAAACAATGGATTAACATATGTGTGAAGTGTGATCCTCACGTGAAATGTAAGATGACAATGATTACTAGGATGATGTCTTCTTTTTATTTTGCAACAGACGAACTAATATATATAAGAAACAAGTGGGAAAAATCCATAAGATGGATTATTCCCTAGGTGATGATAACAAGAAGGAAAATCACCTGTGAAATGTCAAGAGAAAAGGAAACAATACATAGAACGAAGTAAAGTAAAGAAGTGAAGACAGAAAGGAAAAATCCATCACACATATCGAATAGTAGCATGAATAACGATAGAATAACAGAAGAGAGGAGATAACATACTACTATCTAACAATATGCATGATCAATAGATAAAGAAAAGAAATATGTACAATATGTAACAAGGTACTATGTAGAGATGAATACAAAAAACAGTGTTTTATTTAGAATAAAATAACCATTTTTTTTTTGTTTCATCATCTTTTATATTTGGTAAAATTATTTCACCAATAAATGTTTGAAATTGATTTGAATTAATTGAAATATATTTATTGTATGTTTCTTTAGTAAAAATAATATCATTATTTTTTTGTTTTCTTGAGTTATATACACCAATATGTATACCTGCTAATCTACCGTAACAGTCAAGAATAATAGAACCACTAGAATCAGACAAAGTACTGCAGTTATGTGAAGAATATGGATCATTTTCACATGCTTCTTTTATAAGACTACCTATTGAAACTGACTTGTAATTAACATGATGACTATTATTCAATTTGTCAATCGTTAAATTCTTGAAGTCATTTAAATATCTGTATGGTGTTAAGTCGTTTTGTCCATATAATTTACCATTGTATCCGACGAGATATAGATTTGAATTTAATGGAATATCACCTGGTTTTGATGAAACAAAATCGAATCTTGGATTAAAATATTGATCTTTTGTTATATTTGGAATTTCATTATCCAATATCAATAAAGCAAGATCTGTATCAGTATGTTTAAGTTCAGTATATTTATCAATATTTTCTTGTGCTAAACCACGTTGAAGTATTTTAGCTGAAAATACTAATTTATTAGGATTCAATAATGAAAAAAGTTTATTAGGAGCAGGATCGCAAAAGCCAACTAATATTTTCGAATAAGATATTTTATTCGTATTCCATAATATTGGATCAAATATATGGGCACATGTTAAAACAAGATTATTATTTATTAAACAACCACTACCAAAGGTCATTAGAGTTCCTGAGTCTTTTTCATAAATAACTCCAATACGAAGAATTAAATGCCTAATAGATAACAGCGACGATTTGACTTGATTTGCATTTGAAATTTCCGGTAAAAAAATTTCGCATGTTGATCGATCATAAATATAAGAATATGTTTCTTGTATTGACTTGGTTTTAGTATTAATAAATGCTCTTTCATTTGAAAAAAATTTAGGGAAACTATTTATTCGGTTTATTATTATTTGTTTTTCTTCTGACCAAGTCTAACGTTAAAAAAAAGTCCCTCGTAGCGTTAAATTTACCTACAAATATCAAGTAAACTTATTTTCTTACCGATGAATCTAAATCATTTGACAATAAATAATAACATCCCGGAATTTTATTAAATTGATCACGATGTCTCCAGTAATTCCCTGTTAAATCATGAAATCTAAATAATGAAAAATAAAATAAATGTCGATTCGATTTTTATGTTTTCAAGTTGCATACTTACATTGAATCAAATTTAGACTTGACTAATTCAATATTGCTATCTGATACATCAATACTTGATTCATCATTTGATCTAAAAAAAATCATTGGATAGACTTATATTTATCCTAGATAATCTATTATTATTCTTACTTATTATGTATTAATAAAGAATATTTCAATGATTCATTAATAATGGTTATTTGAATTTCATCTAAGATTGTTTGATTATTATCAGTATACTATAAAATAAGATATAAATTACCCATTTTTGAATAATTTAAAATTCGAACTATCTTACTTTGATCAATGTACAATCAAATGTTCCATCAATATCACTATATACGTTTGTTTTATCAATATTTTTTGAAGATTTTTCATCAAGAAAACCACTTGGATTGTTCATTTTGAATCAATATCAGCAATAAGCTTGACTAATTGAACAAATAATAATTAAATAAACAAGAAAAAATGATCACCAGAGTAATTAAACTAATCAATCGATATCGAATATTATATAATTTAGATGAAGAAGTCAATAGAAAAACGAAGAAATAAATAATGTAATAAAAGGCTTAACAATTTTGATATCTTATATAGACTGCAGTTTGAAAATTCCAACCAATTGTCTCGTCGTGTCAATTAACAATGGCTCATTTGTCTACTTTCGATCTTTGTTAATCAATACGAATAGAAAAAAAAGAAAGAGTTAAATTTCTCTTTACGCATTTAAAGTTCTCGAAGTGAAGTAATGCATGAGAATGTGTATATTCCTCATTCAAAAAGTTTTGCGAAATTATTTTGCTATTTATAGTCGACATGACACATAATGTATCTGTATGTGTGTGTGTGTGCGTACGAGGTGTCGGTGTGAGTGAAGAGAAGACACACTATATACCGACATGTACTCTCTACTGGTTTAGAGCTTCCTCATCTATAGTCATTTACAATATTTAATATCAATTTCTATAAAAAAAAAATAAGATCTTTAAGAAAAGCATCTTCGGATTTTTTCTTAAACGATTATAGTGTCAAAAGAAAAACTTTTGGAGAAAAAAGAAATTTTTCCATCTAGACAAATATATTCGATATCACTAAAACTTTTAAATAATTCAGTAGAATGAAAGAGGTTCGAAGAAGACATTGAGCTGTCAATCAATTGGGAATACATTCTGATATAAGTTCATCAGAAAGTGTCCAAAAAATATACCATCTGAATGTACCTTTATGTCAACAATTCATTATAATTAAGAAAATCAAATAAAATTTTGATGGGAATAGCATTTTTGTTCTGATAAAATATAATAAATGATATTTTGAATTACTAGTGACTGATGATTGTTGAAAGACACATATCTATAACATCGAAGATTTTTACAAAAAGTCATTGTACCTACAAGTAACATAATACCAAAAAACATCCAAGGATAACTTTAATATTTAGTGATGGTAAATAATGTTGCATAAACATTTTTCTGTATCAAGTTTTCTTAACACAGACGTTTTACTATTTCTGACACTATCGAACAAATGATACTTGTTTCTTTTTCAGATGTGCTATATTTCCGAAACTCTTTTATCGTCCAATATTGAATAGCATACAAAACTGATTGATGCAATGAAACCGTGATCGATATTAAACGAGACAATAGTTTCCAACCAACAATTTTGAATAATTCAACAGCTATCAGCTATATTGCATTTATTACCCTACTCATTAATCCCACAAAAACAACTTTCTATGACACAAAACATGAGAATAGCTTCTTTAAGAAGCAACTGACTGATTTGACGCGAATATCTATCTAATTGCAAAGCAAAATCAAGAAGATAGCTATATCATCTTTTTTCCCCAGAAATCAAATAAATTATGAGTCATTCTTTTTTGTCTCTAATAGATTCAATCGGTGATCTCTTCATTAACCTGACACTTTTTATATCTAACGAATATGCAAAACTATTTTTTCTATTCCAAGCAAACAGTCAAAATATAACTTGTTCAAACAAAGCAAAAGCATTACCTTTATTTCACTTTTATTAAAAAAAAAACATTCAATTTCTTCTAATTATATCGAATCATATAGAATCAGAAAATCATTAGACACACTAAATATTTCGATTTACCACATCTCTAATATTCATTGACATGTATATTACTAATTCTCATCACAGAATGTCTGATACAAGCCGTCTTTCATGTGACTGTATCTATTTATTGATTTCATTTGATTTTAAAAATACAAAAAAAAATATTAACGTTATATCTTTCTAATGCTTTCAAGGTTATATCACCAGAATACACTTAAAGTTTTATTTTTTTTCTTCAATTTCTCAAGATACTGTGCACCTTTCTCTGCGATTATGTTTTCAGAGATATTAAGCGTAGTAAGTGTCTATGTAAAATAGAAAAAGATGAATCTAATATATATTGAGCACACTAGTTTTCTCACTATATTCTGCTGTAATTCTTCACCAAGATATTGTGCACCTTTATCTCCGATTTGATTGTTTTTGAGGTCGAGCGTAGTAAGTGCCTGTAAGAAATAACAAAAACGAATACAGTAGACACGAATAGAAGACTTCGTTTACCGTGTTTTTTTGTAATCCTTCACCAAGAAATTGGGCACCTTTATCGCCGATGTCATTGTGAGAGAGGATCAATATCGTGAGTGTCTGAATGAAATAAGAGACACAGGTTGGATAGAAATGAAGAGAACTATTCTCTTACTGTGTTCTTTTTTAATGCTTCTCCAAGATGTTGTGCACCTTTATCATCAATTTGATTCTTTCGGAGATCGAGTGTAGTAAGTGTCTGTATAACTTAAGGAAAGTAAATATGATAGAAATGAAGAGCCAATTTCTCTCACTGTGTTCTTTTGTAAACTTTCACCAAGATAGTGTGCTCCTCTATTTCCAATCTTATTGTTGTAGAGGTAGAGTCTAGTGAGTGTCTGTAAGAAATAGGAAATATGAATTATCAGAGCTCGAAACGGGGAAGAATTTTTGCTCCCCGCCTCGCCCCGCCCGAAAAAAAGGCTTCCAGAATCGCTTCACCCCGACCTTAATTTGTTTTCGCCCCCTCGCCCCGCTTCGCTTCATGCAAAGTTCTTTCCGCCTTGCCTCGTCCCGCCCCGGGCCTCTCTCGATTCCCCGTCCAGTTTCTTTCCATGAATAGCAACAAAAGAATATAATTCGTCCTCAGTCATCCTTTAAATTCGTTATTCTCTCTTGGACGATGAAATAGAATACTACTAGCACTTGTGGGTTGTAAATCAAATCTTTGGTTGATAATTTCATCTGCTACCAAAGACTCTCTATCGGCAGCGGCTGAATTCTGTGGCATTATATACATGTGACATGCCAATATAGAGAAAGCTGGAAAAATATTTTCCAATTCATCTCAGAATGAGTACGAATTTGGACAGTCTTTGCCTAATTCGAAATCGATATGAATATCGACTTCATCTTTTGTTATTGGTATAGACTTTCTTTTTGTCAGTTCTTCATCTATTAACTGTTCAAGAAACTCTTTTGTTGAACCCTTTTCAATATCAACTGTTGCAGCCGAAGTCACTTTCGATAGACATGCACTGTAAGCACAATAGCATTTTGCTTTTTGAGCTTTTATTACTGACAGTAGCCGTTTCACGTTTAGATGAACATATGAACGTTAGTTAAGCGTGCAACAAGGGATATTGCAGGTTTCCAACAGACTTTTTTTGTCAATTTAAACTCAAGCAAACGGTTCTGTACTAATGTTAAGAGATAGAGAATTTTCTGTCGATTTGAACGAAATATTCTTTTAGATCATCGTTAGATTGTTTTTCGAAACACTAAAGTCAGTGAATACTAGAAAAACACCAACTGCTCATCTACAAAATCATGAAAGTTAAAAATCAAATTTTGCCACAGTAGATTGATCTCAAGTTTTAATTTTCTTCATTTAAGGCATGCGACTTTTTTAGTGCATCAAATGCTGTGCCTAGTTGAACATTTTCATATTGTCTCTTATCGAAAAACTGCAGAATATCTTAAAAACATCCTCGGCCCAATAGTTATAGGCATACTTTGTATGTCGCTTTCAGGTAATAAAGTTTTACTCAAAAGTTCGATTTGATGCCTATACAATAAATACACTTCTCTTCTTTTCTTAGTATGTTTTAATAGCGTATCGAAAGCTATTTAACAAATAAAAACGGCTCTTAATTCTAGTGAAATGCTGAGTATTTGATGTTTTCATGGCACGCAGCAATTTCGATGTTACACAGAGATAGAAAATGTTTATTGAACAAAAGAATGTATAAATAAATTCTTCATAAAATTCTGTTTTAGCATCTAAAGTAAACTTTTGGGTTGAATCTAATTTGCGAAAGAAATCTATCAATAGACGCTGGTTTTCTCTGTTGCAGTCTTTACCATACATCTTACACGATAAAAATAGAATTCAATAAAGACTACTCATATTTAACGGAGAACTTTTATATTTGTACGAGGCGTTGAGTGGATAATCTATTGCACACAGACTATTATCATAAGTCTTTATGCATACATTATTCAAATACATAGTCTATATATCGATATTTATGTTGTGGAACTATCATGAAAAAAGTTCGGGAATTTTAACTTAAACCCGTTTCACCTCGCTTCGCCGTAATTTTTCCCGCCCCGCTTCCCCCCGTCCTAGCTTCTCCCCGCCTCGACCAGAAAACATATTCCCCGTCGTAATCCTTCCCCGCCCCGTTCCCATCTCTGATATGAATAGGATAGAAATCAAGAGACTATTAAACTTACAGTGCTTTTTTGTAAGCCTTCACCAAGGTTTTGCGTACCTTTATATCCTATTTCATTGTTGTCGAGGTTGAGCTCCGTGAGGACCTAAATATAATAAGAAGGATGAATCTAATAGCAATGAAGGGACTATTTCTTTTACAGTATTCTTTTGTAAACTTTCACCAAGATATTGTGCACCTTTGTCTCTTATTTGATTGTCAGAGAGATTGAGTATAGTGAGTGTCTGAGTGAAATAAGACAAATGAATAGGCTAAAAATGAACAGACTGTTTCTCTTACTATATTTTTTTGCAAACCTTCACTAAGATATTGTGCACCTTTACCACTAATTTTGTTGTCAGAAAGATTGAGTGTAGTGAGTCTCTATTTGAATGATAAAGATGCTTTGAATAGAAATGGAGAGACTATGTCTCTCACTGTATTCTTTTGTAATGCTTCTGCAAGATATTCTGCACCTTGATCACCGATTTGATTGCTGTAGAAGTAGAATGTAGTGAGTGTCTGCATGAAAAGAGAAAAAATTACGAATAGAGATGAAAAGATTATTAAACTAACGATGTTCTGTTGTAATGCTACACTGAGATATTGTGCACCTTTTTCCCCTATCTGATTGTTGTACAGATAGAGTGTGGTGAGTGCCTGTATAGAAAAAGAAGATGAATACTATAGAAATGAAGCGACTATTTCTTTTACAGTGTTTCTTTGTAGCCCTTCAGCAAGATATTGTGCACCTTGATCTCCAATTTTATTGTTGGAGAGGTCCAGTGTAGTGAGAGTCTATATAAAATTGTAAAGATGAATGCAATACTGAAGAACAAACTATTTATCTCACTGTATTCTTTTGTAAACTTTCACCAAGATATTGTGCACCTTCATCTCCGACACGATTATTTTCGAGGTCGAGTGTAATGAGTGTCTGTACATAAACAAGGAAGATAAATATGATAGAGGTTAAAAGACTATTTCTCTCACCATATTTCTTAGTAATCCTTCACTAAGATATTGTGCACCTTTATCACCTATTTGATTGCTTTCGAGGTCGAGTGTAGTAAGTGTCTGTACAAAGTAAGAAACATGAACATGATAGAAATGAGACAACTATTTCTCTCACTATGTTCTTTTGTAATCTTTCCGCAAGATATTGTGCGCCTTTATCTCCGATCTGATTGTTTTCGAGGTAGAGTGTAGTGAGTGTCTATAAGACATATAAAAGATGAATATAGTAGCCATGACGAGAAAGTTTATCTCATCGTGTTCTTTTGTGATCGTTTATTGAGATAAATTGCTTCTTTTTTTTTTACAGATTACATATCTATATATTTCAATAACTATTCAATTATATTATGAATTTCAACAACTTCCTATGTTAGGAAAAACAAGTCTTATAATATTAAATTAATGTTTTGTTCAAGGATTCCTGGAATCGAATGACTTTGTCAAAGTACTCTCAAATAGTAAGGCAATGTATTAACATTAGATTTTCTAAAACGTAAGAGTCAGGCTAACAACTTTGGTATGGCCTGGCCTAGTAGACTACCTGGTAATCTAGAAGCCGCCTTCCAGACAGCATATCAAGTTGCCAGCTCTGGTGTGAATGTAAGTGTCGATGTCGGTATTTGTTACAGAGAGACTCTCATCCATTGTGAGAGACGTTTCACTCCTGTCCACACTCTCTAAATCTAAATTTTTGAAAAATTTTTAGAAAATAAACATTTTTTATACAAAGTATAGAGTTGATGCTTTTTTCTAAAGTACAAAATGATTTTTTATAATTTCTTTTAACAAATTCAAACTGAATAAGTTATTTTATTGCTCAAATATAATTTTAAAAAACAATGCTTTCAGTTAACTGTAATTTAAGTTTCTTGAATTTGTGAAAAAAAATCTACTTTTGTTTAAACTTTTTCAAAGACTATTTTATGTTTGATTTAAAAAAACGTTTTTCTTTTTTAAAATTAATTTTAATAAAAGTTTATTCAATTTATATTTATTTTATCTGTTAGACTTAAGAAAAGATACATCTGATAAATATTTTGTTTTTTTTTAATTTAGCTTATCAATTAATTTAAACTCGGACTCAAAGAAAATAAAGATATCTCGAAATATATCACTTTTATTTGAAATATTCGAACTATTAACTAACATTCTTTTACTAATTAAGATTGTAAAGAAACTTATTTGTTCTGAATAACCGAAATATTTACTTTAATTTAATTATTTTTACAAATAATATCAAATTTATTGAAGTTCTATAAATCATTTAAAACTAATCATTACCTACCATATTATTGCGTAATAAATAATATGAAACTATTTCCATGTCGTCATCAGTCAATTGTTCATTGCTCAAGTAAACTACTGAATTATCTTTGTTCTCATGGATCATTTGTTGAAGTTTTTGATTTTTGTATATAGGTGGCGATGGTAGTAAAGTTGTTGTTTTTGATTCTAAAAAATAAGAATCATAAATAAAGCAAAAGAAAGAAATAGAAAATTGTGTAAGAATCATTTTTAAATTGAATTATTATTTAAGAAAGATATATATTCATTTATTAAAATATTTTCTGATTAATCATTTTAAAGATAAACTAATTTTAAAATTATAAAACAAATACATATGATCTTATCAATTATGATCAAATTCTTTTAAAATTTTTCTATTAGACAACTAATTATTTAAAAACAATGACGCGTATGTATCTATCTGCATTATTGTGCAGTTTTTCTTTAAATGAATCTCAAATGAGTTTCAAAATTTATTTAACCTCGTTTTTTACGAAATCCAAGAATAAAAATCTTGAAAAAAAACTAATTATTTTATCGAAGCTATCTATGAAAAATATTTTATCTTTATTGAATATTTTTCAAAACTATTTCGAAAAAATAATTTCATTTTTTTAAATTATAAAACGATCATTATTCTTTAATAAAAACTAACAATTTAATTTTATTATTAATTGAACATCTATTCTATATATCCGTTTTTTAAAATAAAATTCGTCGCAAGAAAATAGAACTAATAACAGAGCAAACGAGCTAATTGTCCTGAACTTGAAAGTTACTTCACATTTTTTAATTATGATCGTAACTTGATTACGATTACTAATGGATACTTTATACTTTCTGCTAAAACATTTTATCTGATTTTCTTTGGTTTTTTGTTAAATTGTTGTGCGTAAATATTGCAATCTATGATATTATTTCAAAATGTAAAACAAGCTGTGAGAAGACTTACGATATGATTGTACAGATGTATCTTGATGATTTAATTGGTCTGATTTGCACATTGTAAGTTTATCGAAAGAAAAACAATTCTCAGACGATGACTGATTGAAAGGTGATGCGACAAGTTGGCACGGTGGAGTTTCTTCTTGTAAATGAATGATGTACAAATCATTAGCTGGACTCCATTTATCAATTACACGTAAATAAGTTCCCGGCATCAATAAAATTTCATTTTCATCTTTGTAAAATGAATGAGAGTTAATTGCTTTTCCATTAATGCATTCAATCATAAATAAAGTACGAATACCTGAACGACCAACAAATTTTTCCATGACTTTCATTGTTTCTGTACATGAACTAATACCCCACCATATAAAATCTTCTTGATAAAGATCAATTACATTACCACGAATTCCTCGCCAAATTGTTTTTTTCAATGATGGTAATTTATACAATGCGGTTAGAAAGAGTTTCAAATATGAATACCATGATTGAAGTTCACTTCGTTTTTCAGACCGAAGTTTTTCATTTAACAAAGTATAAACACTTTGATGAGCCTCAGGCCATTCCAACGTGTACAGATGAATTGAAGCTGACTCATCAGAAGTAAGACCATCTGATGGATTACGAGAGTTTCGTTTTGCTGTCCATACCATTGTTTTAAGATTATGAATAGGTGGTTCTATTTCAGCCATTGCATTTTCTACTGATACTAAATCTTTTTTCTCGTAGCCTTCGATAGGTGTTAATGTTTTAGTAGGTTCTTTATCGGCATCAATAAAACGATTGATAATTTTAGCTTGTGACATATTTATATGAATCCTATATAACTTGTGAAAAGGTAAAATGTGCTCGCGATAATCTATGGCTGTTGTATGTTTGCAACTGATTGTTTCTCAGGTAACACACTTCGAGTTATGTAAAAAACAAGAGACGATAAAAAAAACGACCTAAACGAGTTTTTTTTGGTAGAAAGATGATACCTTAAATGACAACTCCAGAAAAAAAAACTTTTCCATTTTACACATTTCATTCATGTAGAGCCCTTACATTTCAGTATAACTATAAAACAAATTGTGTTGTCTAGAAATATTGGACAGATTTTGAAAGCTCAATACGTAAGAAATATTATTGAATACTTCTATTCATTATCTAATTGTCACTTGGTATGTTGCATGAATAATACAAGCAAATATCAGAATCTAAACAGTAGGATCTATGTCATTTGCCTTTATTTGCTGAAACTTTTAGTTTTTTCTTTGTTTCATATTCACATTGCCAAATAATCTTTTTTCTTTTGGAATATAAGACAAACTTTGAAATATAGGACAGAACAGAATGAAAATAAAAAAAACTTTCGATATATTCATTTTGTCATTCTGTTGGTTTTATCTCATCCATACTATTTTTTTCAGCGCGGTGTTGACTTTGACAAATAAAAACAAATATATATTTATGAGTAGAAGATTTTATTTGAAAGTGGAAAAAAAAAGTAAACTGGTAATAAGGTGTAAAAATAGCAATATTTACAAAAATTACATCAAACCTGCGTACGAATAAAGGGAAAATATGTATAGAAACTTTATTTGATGGTATATGAAACGTTTTAAAATTTGATGACTTTCACTGACGTATTCCAGCGATCGATTAAATGAAATACATCGAATCGGAAGATATTCGGAGGTTACTTCTTTGAATCATGTTACTCATTATTGCTTTTTTCAAATCATGTCAGCTTTCTTAAGTAGTGTTATCTATAATTGGTCATTGGTTTATTAAACTAAATCTTTCAATATAATTAAAACGACAGATAGAGCAGTTCAATTTCTCAAAACAGTTTTACTTTTTTCAATATTCCAATCGAATTGCTGATCACATTGTTGGCCATATGCTGAACGTTTGAGTTTGTTTACTTGAGAAATTTCCTTAAATGCTAAAATTAAACATGGTGAACTAGCTCGACTAGGGATGTCATACGAATTTCATTTTGAACATTTGTACCATACAAAAAAACTGTACCTTTGGAATGCACATCTTGTAGTGAATTTGGTCATATTTTCCTTCATTAGTCAGACACAGTGCTGACACCTTATATTCGCATTGTATTATTAAGTTCCGATCTAAGTGTGATCTGTTTTTCTTGCTACTGTCGTATTTGTGTTAAAGAAAGTTTTTAAAGGCGTGCTGTTAAATGATCTAGGACGAATATGACAAAGCCTCTGATGAGAATGTAATCCGCAAACGGTACAAATGAGATCGTCAATCGAATCATGTGAAAGCGTTGGGGTGACTGCTGCTTTTAAGTGACTAATTTCTAACTCTTTCTTAATTATCCGGCAGTGATCAAATGTGCCGACGTGAGTAGTATCGAGTCAGACAATTGGATATCTAGAACAATAAGTCACTTACACTTGATGATCTTGTACATAAATGAGTCAACGTAAGGTACGTGGTCAATATTCTTACATGAAACGATATTATCAAATGACTTGTTTTTATATGACAAGTTCTTGTAAAAAAATCCAAGAGAAAGTTGTCAAGAAACATACATTTGTTTTTTCGGTAAGTTAAACAACTGCGTAATAATTAGAAGAAGAATAAGTAGTTGATAGAGAGTCTTTTAGATTAGAATTTTCTAAGGTGCATTCTACTCGCTGTTATTTTCTCTAAATCGACGTTTAATATTACTCTAGTTGTGCTATGGGGTCAGATTATCATAGAACGATTAGTAGAACTTCTTGTAGGAACATATTTTGGGTACTTGGTGCAAAAGTGAGAATAACATCAGCAATTCTACTTTGAGTAGTAACAACAGTTATATGGTGAGGAATAGGACTGTAGATGTTGATAAGAATAACGAAAAATAACGATATATTCATCAATTCACAGCTTGTGATTGTATGGATGTGCGGAGATACGAGTTGTGTAAGGTTGTGGATGAGTATGTAGCTGAACACAGAACTCTCGTATCTACATATACTCATCCGCCAGAGAAGTTCACGTCACAAAGAAAATTCTCTCTCCCAATTCTCATGCTCAGAGGTTGTTTTTGGCTTTATGTCTTTTAGAACTCAATAGATGCGTCGAGCATTGAAAGATGATTCTATCTTGCATAATATCGCTAATGAAATTTAGTTACTTGTGGGCAAAACTGTTTTGCCGCACTGTGAACAAAAATAAGTATTCACTTCATACAATTTGTATCTTACTGACTTGATAATCTATTCTGAAAGTGTCAGTATTTTAGCAGTTAAAATATAAATGATGGTCAAAAATCATCAAAATATCTTTGCAGAACTTTTTGAAGAGATTTTTTTATTTTGGAGCATCAGTTTCAGTAATTCTGAAAGTTTAAAACGAATTTGACGCACTTAGCATAAAATTTGGTGCGTTCTCGGCAGGATTATCCAACTTGAAGATTTCTTTTAGTAATAAAGTTTATGAAAGAGCTAATCTTACAAGTCAAGTGGTAGGAACATATGTTTGTGCCATTAAGAAAATTTCATATGCCAAAAAGACGTTTTTTGTTGTCTCAATTCTTCATTAATCAAGTATGTCATAACACATCGGATTGAATTGTAGTAACATCCTATAGGCAAGCATGATATAAATAGTATGTCAATGAAAGGTCATATATCTTGAGGAAGTATCTCGTATAAATTAACACATGTACTACAGACAGTAGTAGAACGCACTGGCTCATTGGATAATGTGTTTTTAGGAAGGTTTCGTCACTAAATAGACTCGTATATACTACTCAGCAAACATGGTTCATGCTCAAAAGAGACACTTTTCAATAATACTCGTTGTACTTTGTTTAGTACAGCTAGTTGAAGTTTCATATGACTACTTAATCAAATTACAGCTACTTAATGTTTTCCTATAGCTACTTAATCAAGCTGCAGGTACCTGATGAAAGATTGGATAAATATGTAAGAGTGGCATAGTTATATACGTCAACAAAGAGGTAACAAGGACAAGATAGTAATCTAAATGTATGAATTCCGTACATTGTTTTGATGATATTTCAAGGGAAAATTTATTCAAGAGAATTCCAACTCAAGAGTATGTTGTCACATTCGCGGTCTTTACAACGAATTGTATAGATTCGTTTTTTTTGTGTCTATCAAAAATTTCATTGTATTATGTTTATGATGTGAGCCTTTTCTTGGGCAGAACCGATAGTTTCCTGTAATGCTAAACAATAGTTGGTTTTTATTATAACTACCACGAACACATAATTGAATATAGCCTTGATGATTTTGGTCAGATTTGATTAATTTTTCTACAATAGGTGTAAAATTTTGTATTTCGTCCTGTGAAAGATTGATATAATCATATGCTTTATGAATTGTCAAAGAATTAAAATCATTAGTTTGAAAACTGTATTTTTTATTAGTTTCAAGCACAAAATGGGAATCAAGATGCTGATTGATGATGTTAAACATGTTTTCATTATGTTCAGAGAGTAAAGGTGTACTTTGTAAATTGGTAACTTTTAGTTTGAATTGATTGTTTTTGAGATAAACTACTGGTAAATTTGAGTGTTCTATATTATAAGAAATGATTGATTTTTTTAGTTTTGTAGCATAGAAAGTTTCAAATGCTTGAATAAATTGAAAGTAAGTGGATTGATGAAGAAAATTATTTTGTCCTCGTTTAACACAATCATATATCGAAATTGTTGATTTTTAGAATAAACGTTTGAATCAATTGCTAAAATACGTGGACTTTGTTTATTCATTACTAGAAGATATGCGAGTTCTGATATACTAATGTGAGAATTATATGTATAGCATTTGGTGCAATGTAGACGTAATGCTGTACTATGTGGTGATGAGATTGGTATTAAGTCAGATGTGGTATATTTTTGTAGCTTAAATCGAATATTAAAACATGAGTACTTGTGACGAATGATGAATGTTAGGAGTACATGTATTACGAGTTGTTATTAGCGAAACAGCAGCATGATGGTATGACAGCAGAACAGAGAAAAAGACAATCCCCCTTCGGATGGAATCGAACCATGCATCCCCTGCTGACCGGGGATTCGTATTAACCACTATACTAGAAAGAGTATCTTTTCTTTGTCTTACGATCGGATGGGAACAATTCGATCGTAACACCTCCCCCACCACACAAAAGCATCGCTCCTCTATGTCACAGACTAGCACGGAGGGGAACACTCCGAACTATAATCTTTTTTCGAGCATCAAATAACGAACGCACATGTATAATACGGAAGGACTGTATAGTGCCTCCTGGCTAGCGCATCATTGTTACGTGCGAGATAGCAACGTGATGATATGACAACAGAACGGAACAAAAGAATAATTTCCCTTCGCAAGGAATCGAATCTTCGTCTTCTGCTTTCCGAGCAGCTGGATGTGGGAATGGGTGTGAGTGTGGGTGGGCATGAACAGATGAAGCACACACACACCCACATTCTTATATATATATTCCTTCTCGCACGGACATTAGTCATATCGGGTCTCGAGACAAATAGTATTGGAGACAGTGAGATGCAATATCTCGCCGATGCATTAGAAAATGACAATGCAATCCTGGTTTTCTGCACATCTCTGACGACCTTGTGTTATTTATCCTTCTCCTTTATGCGCAGACACTCACCACATTGAATCTTCAGCAGAATGAAATCAAAGAACAAGGAGTACAATACACCGCTAATGGCTTACGAAACAACCATGTGGGGCACTGTTTTCCGCACATCTTTCTCTGTCTCTTATTTATCTTCTTCTCTAACTACAGGCACCAATCAAATTGAGCCTTGAAGGGAATAATTTTGGCG